CAAAATTGGAGGGTTGCTTTCCAGACTGGTGGCCTGTGACTAGCAGTATCCTGCAAGGATCAATGTGTCTGCTGCTTTTTGCCACTTAAATGATTTGGATGTGAATATCAGAGGTCTGGTTAGTAAGTTTGCAGATGACACTGAAATACATGGCATGGTGGACAGCGTGGATAATTGCCTCAATACAAAGGGACCCTGAACAGATGGAATTCATGAAGTGTGAAATCTTGCCTTTTGGTAAGGCAATCCAGGGCAGTTTTTGTGCAGTAGAAGGTAGGGCCCTGGGGAGTGCTGCCAAACAGACCTACAGGTGCAGGTGCTTTAAGTGGAGTTGCAGGTAGACAAACTGGTGAAGGTGTTTGTCTTTGCTGGATGGAACCTTAGGATGTCATGTTGCAACTGTACTGAACATTGAGGCCACTTTTAGAATACTTTGTACAATTCTGTCACCCTTGTATAGGAAGGATGTTATTCAACTTGAAAGGGTGCTGAAGAGATTGCCAGGGATGTTGCTGGGACTGGAGGGTTTGAGCTATAGGGAGGGGTTGAATAGGCCGAGGCTTTTCCCTGGAGTGTTGGAAGCTGAGGGATGACCTTTTGTAGAGGCACAAACTCATACAGGGCGTGACTAGCCAAGGCCACCCCCACCTCCCCCTGGGTAGGGGAGTCCAAAACTACAAGGCATACATCTAAGGGGAGAGGGTTTTTAAAAGGACCTGGGGAGTAACTTTTTTCCACAAAAGGAGGTGTATGGAATGAGCCATCAAAGGAAATGGGTACAATTACTATATTTGAAATGTATATGAACAGGAAAGGTTCAGAAGGATATGGGATGTCTGGTTGGCATGGATGAGTTGGACCAAAGGCTGTATTTGAGTGCTGCATGATTCTTAAACTCTAATCTCCAACATTGAAATCATTCCCAGATCTCTTCAGATTACATGGATTTCAACTTGTTTTGAATCCTTTGGAAGCTGCATCCATCAAATTTTGATATTCCCAGCATAGCAGCAAGCAAGAAATGTTAATATTGCCAGATTTCTTCCCTTACTTTGAAAGTGAAAGGGATCAATTTGTCTTAATTGGAAATAGCCAAAACGTTTACTCTAAGTGAAATGCAAGTAAGTCATGTCTGTTAACTAATTGTGCTTTGCACATATGAATTTGTATTGGCTGCCTGAACAGGTTTTAAGTTTACAGTTTTTACCTCCAGTGGGTTTGTACGGTACTTAAAGGAACTTCTGAAAGACTAAGATTTCAAGCAGTTTGGCAGCATTCAGAGCAACCTAATGTTAAATAACTTGAAGAACAAACTGCTTTTAAACAATTTCCAGATTAATGGACTTCAAATATGAAGACTTAGCTTGGAATAAACAAATAATGTGTTTTGGGAATGTGCTGTTGATTCCTTCAGAAGATTTGAAGGAAGTCTCTGTAGAGCTTATTCATCATTATTTTGGGTGGTTCAAGCTTCTAATTACTTCAGGGAAAGGAGCACTTCAGTCTGTGCTGGTTGTTTTAATCTGGTCATGCTGTGTACCAAGATGGTTTTTAAAAATATGTCCAACTGACAACTTTTTTTATTTAAGCATTGGTGTAGTTTTTAAATGTAAGCAAATTGATACGTCAATTGAAGTTTGAGTATTACTTTTGAAATGGCCTGGTCTCGCCATACAGAAGTTTCAATTTGTAAATTTATGTAAGCAATTGTACACCTCAGCCACTCTGTTTTGCCTCAGTCAGCTTGGGATTTGCAAATCAGTTACATTTGACTTCATAAAACCAAGTAAATTTGTTCTTTTTTTTGAAATAACCCACTTATGCATTACTAGTTTATATTAACAATCTAAGAGCATGTGTACCCCTTCCAGCCCCTTGCCTGTTCTGCTATTTAAGATCTGACTATAGTCTCCCTCCACACTTCCTGCCCTGTATAACTGTAGCAAAGCATATTTTATTGCAAGATTTTTAGAATGTAAGCAAAATTCTCATTGGCTAATCATTTGTATCTTAATCACTGACTCCCCAGATACCTCAGTTCCGTCATTGATCTCTTCATTTGAGTAACATGCTGCTTTTGTTCTTTTTTAAATAGCACATCTGAGCAACAATTTAAATGGCATGTTGCTCAGATGAACAAGTTACTCCTTTTTTCTTAGTAAGGTATTATTCACTATTTCAGTGCTTGTTTCCAAATCTGTTTTGGTGGTTGAATCATTCTGCAGCATGAGAAGGCTTTTGCTCCATAGTTGTCTGTTTAATCTGTTGTCCTCCATGGAAATTGTTTTTCTCTTTTACACACTCCTGTCTTTCTTTTATTGTGCACTATCTCCTGTTCTACCTGCTTTATGCTGCCCTTGAGGCAGTTGCTGATGAACAAGCAAGAACACTCATGGTCACACCTATTTTCTCACACTGGATATCGTCACTGTCTTAACCAAACTTCATTGCTATTGGAAGTATGCAGCTGTTGCTTGGGGCTTGCTAAAGCAGTATAACGATCAAATCCCTCAGCAGGGGAGATGGATTTTCCAGCATCTGTATCTCCCTCTTCAGGCCTTACAGACTGAGAGACTATTTGTTTGTTTGAATCAGGAAAGTTAGTGTTTTCCCACTTTCTCCTCATCATTTTACCACCACCTCCCCCCACCCCACCCCAATAAGACTCCCCTGGATTTGCCCAGAAGTAGATGTGACCCAACCAGGACCTGGTTGGGAGTCAGGGAGTGCCCATGTTAGTGGAGCTGCATATCATTTGAGAGTAGAGTGTTCCTCCAACACTTGTTTGACCTAGGACCATGGTCCTAGTTTCCATTTCTCACCACCAAGACATGGGCCTCTGATCTAGAGGCTACGTACTGCTAAGCAGTGTTTTCAGCTCCCACTTTGCCATTGTCATGTTCATGCCAGTTGACCAATTGTCTGCTGTGAAGCTAATACCACTCTTGAGGCAAACTCATTGATTCCATCCCTTTTCTGTAATGTATTGTGTCTCTGGCTCCCCTGGTTAGATTTGAAATTTGAGGTTAGCTACCTGTTTTTGTGGCAATCAGTTATGCCTTATCCCTGCAGTCTTCACTTCAAACAGACTGGTGAGATCACTGACTCTAGCCAGTTTAAGGATTGAAAGTGTTTTATGCAGAGTCTTGCTATAGAGTTAAGATCTTGCCACCAACAATGGTACATAAGCTGGAATGGTTGAGTTGGAAGATTTCAATACCATAAATGTCTGACAAGTGCAGATATCTAGTAATAGAGTAGATATGTACAATTAGCTTGCTATATCTTGAAGGCTGTACCTTGTGAAATGATTGATCCCATTTCCTGTTGCTGTAAGATTCATATCTCCTTTGGATATAGTTAGATTCCCATGCATATCCTGTGAGCCAGGATAAATCTGAAAGCTAGTCAATACGTTTGAGTGACCTTTGCTGAAAACTTAATACCCAGTGCTGTATTGATTGAATCCAGGTTTTCTGAAATTCTGGATACTAGGAGCTAAATGTAGGCAGTGGGGGAGGTTAAGCTGATACCCTTGGTGCGGTGGGGGTTTCAACCTAGAAGTTGAGGGCAACAGGGTTACACCTTCGAGTCAAGGATTTGTACAAAGCCAGGATCATCCTCTGCCACCACGTCTTCCCAGAAGACCAGGTCTCCCCTCAGCTTGTCTGGACAGCTGCAGTAGCAATCTTGCTTAAACGTGAATTCCAAGTGGCTGACTTAATAGTTCTGAGGAAGGGTTGCTGGACCCAAAACGTTAACTTTTTTCCTTCACGGATGCTGTCAGACTTGCTGAGCTTTTCCAACAATTTTGTTGTTTTTTTGTTTGGCTGACTTAACTAGACTTCTGAATATTTGGCTAATTTGAATAAATGTTTTACCTGTGACAAAGATGATAAAGTTGTGTTTAGCTGTACACATTTGACTTGGCTCAATGGAGGCAGTTGCCATAGTTCATGAATCTGTGACAGATTCAAATATTCAAACCGGCTGACATTCCAAGTAGTATTAAGGGCGTGGTACTCTGCCAAGTACTGTCCTCCAAGGTACAACATCACAACACAGTTCAAAATTGTCAGGAACTTCTGTGCTCTGGCTGATGCGTATCAGTTAACTTGCATCAACTAGGTTAGCTGCCAATTAATCTCATGGTGATTTGAGTAAATTGCTGTAGAGCAAACTGCCACTTTTATGTTGGCCACAGAAAATTGGTTACTCTAACTTAAATGGCTATGAAGCACCTTGAAACATCCTGCTGTGGAATGTTAAATTAAAACTAGCTAAATTCCTTTATTCTGTCAAAGCTTTTCTTGTGTGGAGAGCTTAACTGGAACTTCAGTCAATAGTCTGTTTTTCTGATGTAACTGAGTTTTTGGTGCTTGTTACTTTAAGCAATTTCATCCTATGTGAACATGTACTTATCTTCCCAACTAGTCATTGCTCCAAAAAATGTTTCACCCTGGCTGTCCCAAAACAGTCTGTTACCCAGTATTGTTCTGTACCTGACTGGATGGATGATTCTCCTGAGCTGGCTTGAATAATCTTTGACTACTTTTAATGTGTTTTCACTATTTTGTTTGTGAAGCTCAATATACTCCAGAATTAATCTTTATCAGCAGGCAAACAACAAATACATTTATGAAACCTTTGAGAATGTCAATCCCAAGTTGAAATGCCATATAAACAGGCAGCATGTATCTTCTGATATCACTACTAATTTTTTTGGCTGTGCTTTTTGACTAAATTATGTCAGCGATGTTACAGTATTGTGTGCTGAGGATAAACAGTTCCCATGTTGCTGTGCCAACTTCTCAATCTAGCCTTTGATGCACTAGGATCATTTTGTGTACTCTTGCTACTTCATTCTAAATTTTTCAATGTATTAAATGTTTTATTGTGCTGATCAGCAAAATGCCTAGATCAGCTTTGTTACAATATATAGTATTGTGCATGTTTTGGATTGAGCTTTGCAAACCTTTCTCCGACCTTTTTTATTGCAGGGTTGAATTAACCCCTGACCTCACCTCGGTGTAGGTTCTAAGCCTGATGACACTATTTCTGTAGCAATATATTGGTAAGGTTCTTTTTTAGTATGCCCCATGCATGTCAACCTGTCACAACTTAACACACTTTCCCATCTGTCACTAATGAAGTATTGTCTGCCTAACCCAGTAACCATTCTTACCTTGAACCTGCTGAGAACCTGTATTAATTGGCCACCTGTTTTAAACTAGGCATTTTGGAGTGAGGTTCTAGCCTTTTTCAAATTGGAAGAGTAATTAAACCCAAATGACCATTCAATACAGGTTTCACAAGGTTACATCCAATGAGATGGTATGGGTACTTAATGGAAGCAAATTGTACTTGTCAATTATGGTTTTAACTAACCTGAAGTAAAATGAGCTTAAGGATTGCATTATTGGCAAGGATGCAGTTCTTTGTCTTGTGCCCCACTCCCCAATTCTGGGTATTTCATCTCCCCACTGTCAATCTCCCTTTTTTTCCTCTCCTCTTTCTTTCTTCATTCTCCCATTGCATCATCAGCATGATGTCATACAGTAGAGGTTTTTCTAATAGAGATAGTAGGAACTGCAGATGCTGGAGAATCTGAGATAACAAGGTGTAGAGCTGGATGAACACAGCAGGCCAAGCAACAGCATAGGAGCAAAAGGCTGACGTTTTGGGCCTAGACCCTCCTTCAGAAATGGAGGAGGGGAAGGGGTTTCTGAAATAAATAGGGAGAGAGGGGTAGGTGGATAGAGGAGAAGATGGGTGAAGAGGAGACGGACAGGTCAAAGAGGCAGGGATGGAGCCAGTAAAGGTGAGTGTAGGTAGGGAGGAGATGGGTCAGTCCAAGGGGGTGGGATGAGGTTAGTAGGTAGGAAATGGGGGTGTGGCTTGAGGTGGGAGGAAGAACAGGTTAGGGAGGCAGGATGAGCTGGGCTGGTTTTGGGATGCAATAGGGGGAGGGGAGATTTTGAAGACATATTATTATTTTTTCCCTCACCACCCTTATCTGCTTTCCGGAGGGACCACTCTCCATGACTCCATGACTCCATGACTCCCTTGTCCGCTCCACACTCCTCTCCAGCCCCACCACACCCAGCCCTTTTTTTTTCCCCTGCAACTGCAGGAAGTGCTACACCTGCCCCCCACCCCAAACCCAACCCAACCCCAATCCCAGGCCCCAAGAAGACTTTCCACATCAAGCAGATGTTCACCTGCACATCTAATGTGGTATACTGCATCTGCTGTACCTGTTGTGGCCTCTCTACATCAGGGAAACCAAATGGAGGCTTGGGGACTGCTTTGCAGAACACCTACACTCGGTTCGCAATAAACAACTGCGCCTCCCAGTCATGAACCACTTCAACTCCCCCCTCCCATTCCTCAGACGCCATGTCCATCCTGGGCCTCCTGCAGTGCCACAACGATGCCACCCGAAGGTTGCAGGAACAGCAACTCGTATTCCGCTTGGGAACCCTGCAGCCCAATGGTATCAATGTGGATTTCACAAGCTTCAAAATCTCCCCTCCCCCTACCGCATCCCAAAACCAGCCCAGCTCATTCCTGCCTCCCTAACCTGTTCTTCCTCCCACCTATCCCCTCTTCTTCCTACCTCAAGCCGCACCCCCATCTCCTACCTACTAACCTCATCCCGCCCCCTTGACCTGTCCGTCCTCCCTGGACTGACTATCCCCTCCCTACCTCCCCACCTACGCTCACCTTTACTGGCTCCATCCCCGCCTCTTCGACCTGTCTGTTTCCTCTCCACCTATCTTCTGCTCTATCCATCTTCTATCCGCCTCCCCCTCTCTCCATATTTATTTCAGAACGCCCTTTCCCCTCCCCCATTTCTGAAGAAGGGTCTAGGCCCGAAAGGTCAGCCTTCCTGCTCCTATGATGCTGCTTGGCCTGCTGTGTTCATCCAGCTGTACACCATTTTTGTAATAGACCTTTTTTCCTTAATTTTGGTTGTTTACCAGCCAACTGCACCCACCTGTCCCCAGACCCCCAAAAGTTATCTGCCTTGCCACTTATTCTTTCACAATTTGAAAGTGACTTTACTATTGTTCACCAATCTCTCTCTTTTTTTGACTAAAGCTGCATGTTGTGTTACTGCTAGATTCAATGATAATATTGCTGCTCAGCTGGGTTAAAGGTAAGCATATTCTAAGGGGGTGCAAGAAAATTTACTGCAGTGACTTCAACTTTTTGTCCTTTGTTCCTTTTTTCCTGTGAAGCCACTAATGAAAGCACATTCTGAATATAAACCTAATATCAACACTTTAACCAAGTATATTTTGAGCTCAAACAAGTGTTTTGTTGACTTGTGTGGAGTCTTGATTTTATTGAGGGTATGTTGTGTTCAGTTTGTTTTGTTTAGCTTTGAGTGCAACCTGCTCCCCTCGGTGGTGGTGTTGTTGTTGAATGTCTGGGTTGGGAAGAACATTCTTTTGAAATGACCTTTGTTGGACTTCCTTTATAACCTGGAGGACAAGATGTTGTGCTCTTTAAATAGGTCATGCCCTAAAATGTGCTTTTGTAGGTGCATGATCAAAAAAATCAGAGGGCACCTACAGAAAGATTGGGGCAGGTACCAATATTTGGTCAACTTTCAAAGACCATCTTGAAGGAGAAAGATTTAGAGAACTGGAGAAATGTTGATGCTAATTTTTGAGTGGAGCCTTGATTTGCTGCAGGCTCTGCCAGAGTGCAGATTTAGTTCCTGGAGGGTGTAACGGTGAGGGTCTGGTAACGTGACAAATGGTGAGATGTTTAAAATGGAGATGAAAATAATTCCAATGTTTGAGTTTAATATAATCTGTGCAAGAAACATTTGGTATGTACCTGGTGGTTGATACCATGGGTGTACTCTAAATTTGTATTTGCACTAATTTCTTTAGTGCATCGAATTGCCTTCCAATGAATAAACAGTTTCAAGTATTTATTGCAATAATACAATGGGATCTCACTGCACTTAAAGCCACTTGTAGCTGTTGCTCATTGTCTTTCAGTAAATATAATGCTCGCCACAATGTGACTTTACAGGTTCATAGAACTTTACTGGATTCCAGCTGGTTGGATCCTCACTTAGGGGGCAGTCATCTTGGAACATTCTGCAAGAACCATTTGACTCATTCATTTCTGAGCTCAATTAACTTTTCTGTAGTGATTGGTGTTTTCAGCTGATTTTTAAATGTGCCTGACTGACAGATGTGCTTTTACGGTGCCTAATAAGAATTGTCTGGGTCTTGTCAGATTTTTTGGTGATTAACTATTCCTAAGTAGCTTCCTCATGGAATGAGCAGAAATTGTATATCTAAATTTTAAAATATTTGTTTAATGTGGGCCAGAGGGATAAATGCACTAAATTACACTGACCTCAGAGTCGATGACCAGTTCTTCTGTTTTCAATTTTTATGCCGAAATGAAACTGCAATCTCGGTTAGTTCGAAATGTTTGTAATGAACTTGGGCTTCCTCTGAAATGATGCATCATGTGATGGACAGTGTTTAGATTTGTTTCTGGTACACGTTGCGTGAATCAGCATCTGTCGGATTAGCTGTAAATGTGATTTGAGATTCGTTGCTCTGCATGATTGAGAATATACAAGAAAACCTGGTGCAGTACACCATGATGTGCTTCTAATAGTGTTTCTATGGATTGTGCAAGTGGAGGATGAGACTGTTAAAGAATACACTATGAATTAAGTTTATTTTTCATAACTGCAGGTAGAAGTTAGAAATTGCTTTAAATAGAATTTGGCCTAGATTCTGATCGAAGTTTTTTTTTTCCTATTTTTGCAATTTCTCAATAAAAGCCAATGAAAGACTTAAGGCCTTCTGGTTCAGTAATTGAGCAGTGATGGCAAGAACTTGGAATTATAATCTTCACACCTAGTTTGAGTCTACTCCAGATAAATTGCCACATCCCTCTAATACTGTCTTAGAAAAGTTTCACCCCCTCTGGGCAAGCAGGAATGTCTTGTCTCTAGCTTGAAGACCACTAGTTCTACAGCACTGAATTGCTTAGGCAGTTGTCCACAGGTTTTGATATTGGTGACTCTTATCCCTACACAATCAACTTGTGGTCAGTCTGTGTACTACATGAGCTCCCCACAGTACAAAAGCTTGACTTAAGTGGGTGAACTATTTCATTGTAAGAATGTACAAGCATGAAACAAGTGAAGGGCAAATGTTGCTCAATCTCTGGAGTCACATTGAAGCATGTTCCAGGCAGCCCACAAGGTGCAAATTTAATGGCAGCAAAAACTAAACTTACAGGATTGTGATCTGAAGGGAATATTGAGTGGTGTCCAAATACCTATTCCCATGGATTTTTAGACCTTTTTAAAGAGAATGGAAAGGATATGATCAAATTCACATTTGAATATCAAAGTAACTGATTACAGGGCCATTATAGTTAAAACTTGCCTGTGAACAGTGACCCATTTGTGGTATATCGTTGTTTGAAACTCACATTAGTAATAGAGGAGATGGTATCAGCAGTGGTGCTTCACATGGCAGTTTGTAGCCATCTGTGTTTCTTGGTCCTCCTGCTTGCTTTTCTCTTCCAGCATGTATAACAAGCTGCTATCTCGTTTGAATTAAGCAGTCCTTCCTATAAAGGAGTGTTCACTTTCTAGAGTTGTAAGCTATCAATTTAGTAAAGTCTTTTAAAGTGACTGGAGGTTTTTTCCTGTCTAAGCTTGATTTTTGGGACACTTAAGTCACACTTTTTAAAGCAGAATTGTAATGTGAATGTTGAACTTGTAGACCTTCCTGGGTACTTTTTTTGCTCTTGCCACTTGAGGGCACTAATCATAGTGCCTTGTATGGTTTCAAGACGAATATAAGTAGCACTTTAGCAAAGCACTAGAGGGCACTCAGCACCTGTCAATTGATGCAAGTTAAGTGTAAATATGTAAGCATATTCTCAATTAGTTCAGTTTTAAACCAACTAAACTTTTTGTTTTTAAATTGCCTCTCTTCAGGGAAAGGAATTGTTTTTTTTTTAATGTGATCTGATCTGGAATCAGTTGCTTTCTTCTAACCATGTCTCAGTTGAACT